GGGCCCCACCTCCTCATGGCTCATTCAGCTGTCGGCTCATTCAGCTCTCAGCTCATCAGTGCATTACTCCATTGATGAGGTTAGTGCACTTGGGATCCAGTCACCTCGCTAAGTCCCGCCTCTGAGCGTTACTGCATTGGGGATCAAGCCCACTAAACATGGGTCTTTAGTGGACACTTCATATTTAATCTATAACAGTGATGATGGCAAAGGTTGGAAGGAAAGGCCAAGCATTAAAGGAAATCTTGTGACTAATCATTGGCAGGCCACTAAATTATAATGAACTGAGGGTAAACGAAGGTGGGCAGGCTTAAAATGAAAATAAGCAACAAAAGAGTTATCAAGGACTTAATGGCTGCATGGTGCAGGGAATATAGCATCTACAAAATCAGTCCAGAATAATTACACAGAAAATAAACAAGAAGAAAAACAACAAGAACAAAAGACTCAGGAACAACACCCCTGGATTAGAGAGATATGATATCAGAGTTTTCACAATATTTTATCTAAAATGTCTGGTTCCCAACAAAAAGTGTGCCACATACATGTGGGGGGAAAGCCTGCAATGAAAATTATCATTGAGGAGTCCCAGATGTTGAATTAGAAAAAGGCTTTAAATCAGCTAGTTTAGATACATTCAAAGAACTACAGGAAATTATGGCTTAAAAAGTTAAAAGAAGTTAGAACAACTAGCTCTCACCAAATAAAAAATATATATCTATGAAAAGATAGACATTTGAATAAGAACCCAGTAGAAGTTCTGGAGTTGGAATATGCAATAAATGAAAGAAAAAAAAAAAAGCACTAGCTAGGCAGCGCAGTTTGAGCAGCAGAAGAGCGCATGCGCGAATCTGAAGCTAGGACAATAGAGATTATCCAGTACAAGGAGCAAAATAGAAAATGGAGAGACGTGGACAGAAACTCATGCGCCTGTGGCACCTCATAAAGAGTACCACCATACACAAACACAACATGGAAAGCTTGGAGAAGAGCAGAGAAAGAGGGCCAAAATTGTTTGAAGAAAAAATGGCCAAAAATTTGATAAAAACAATATATCAATTCAAGAAGCCTAAGAAACTCCAGTGAACTTAAAATAATTGACACCTATGCAGTTATAGGTGTCAGATTCACAATGTTAAGTAAGGACAAAGAAACAGTTTTGAAAACAGCAGGACAAAAGAAATGTATCACTACCACAGGAGTCGCAACATAATGAACAGTTTATTACTCATCAGAAAACGTGGAGGCCATAAGACTGTTAGATGACCTCTTCAAAGCATTGAACAAAAATTATTGTCAACCAATCCCTCTACTCCCGGTAAAAATTTTCCTTCAAAGTTACAGAAGAGAGTAGCAAAAGACATACAACACCCACATAAAAACTTGCATGGACATCAACAGCAGCTTTATTAACAGCGGACAAAAGGTGGAAGAAACCAAGATGTCCTTCACTGTGTGAGTGGTTAAATAAAATGTGCCACACTCCAATAACAGAATATTATTTAGCACTAAAAGAATTGAGAATTCAGGCCATGAAAAACCATGGAGGAAACCTAAATGCATTTTACTAATAAACCAATCTGAAGTGTCCTCTTACTGTATGATTTCAGCTATATGACATTCCAGAAAGGCAAAACTATGGAGAAAGTAAACACATCAGTGATTCCCAGGAGTGGAGATGGGAGGGTGGGATAAATGTGAAACGAAGAGAATAAGGAGAGAATCTGGTATGACAGCGGTGGATAAAGATCATTACGCATTTGTCCAGGCCCACAGAACATACAGTACAACAAGAATGAACTCTGATGTGCACTATGCACTCTACAGTGATGTGTCAGTGTAGGTTCATCAGCTGTAAGAGATGCACTGCTCTGGTGAGGAATGTTGGTAGTGGGAAAGGTTATGCACGTGTGGGGACAGAGGTACATGGCCATCCTGAACCTTCCTTTCATTTCTCTGGGTACCCACAATTGCTCCAAAACATAACATCCATTTAAAAAAACAATTCTGGAGGACAGTGGTGATGGTTGCTCAACAGTGTGAATGTCTTTAATCAAGCAGACCTGTACATTTACAGGTGATTAAAATGAAAACTTTATGTTATATATATGTTACCACAATAAAAATTCCTTCAAGGAAACAATTAATGAGCCAGAGAATAGGAGAAAATATTTGCAAAAACATGTATCTGATAAAGAACTTGTACCCAAAATACATAAATACCTCTTAAAAGTCAACAATATGAAAACAAACCAATTAAAATATCAGCCAAAAATCAGAACAGGCATCTTACCAAGAAAACATACACATTGCCAACAAAACTATGATAGTATGCTGAATATTATTAGTTATTAGAGAAATGCAAATTAAAACAAGATACCACTTCACACCCACTATACTTATTACAGTGAAAAAGTCAGATACTCACAAGTGTTGAGTAGGATGTGGAGAACCTGAAACCCTCATACACTCCTGCTAGGCTCTGAAGGTACAATCACTTTGGAAAACAGTCTAGCAGTCCCTCAAAATGTAAGCATAGAATTACCCAAGGACACTACATGCATATGTTAACATGAAGTCTTCTACATAAATGTTCATAATAGCATTATTCATAACAATGAAAAAGTGGACTCAACCAAAATGTTTAACAGCTGGTGAATATACAAAATATACTGTACTATACAATGGAAGTATGTGGCAATAGATATAAATGAAGTGTCAAAAAGTGCTACAATATAAGTCAACCTTGAACACATTATTCTGAGTAAAAGAATTCTCTGAGCAATTATATATATATATATATATATATATATATATATGTTGTATTCTCAGAGTAAGAATAGTCTGAGCAATTACAGAATATTACATTATTCCAAAATAATGGAATATTCCACTTATATAAAATGTTCAGAACAGCAAAATCTAAAGAGACCAAAAATATATTAGTAGTTCCCTAGTCTAGGATTTCATTTTGGGGTAATAAAGATTTTGTAAATTTAGACTGCTGATATTTTTTAATGTAAGAATACATTAAAAGAACACTTAAGTGTGCATATTAAATGTAAGAATTTTATGTATTGGAATTACATCTCAGTAGAGTTATTTTAAAACAAATCAAAAAGAAATGTAGCATAAGTACCCTTTCTAATTATGTCAGCCTGTTGAGAACATAAATCGAATGGGACTATGGCTAATAGCCAAGTAAAATGTTTCATGCGTTTATAGAAAAGCTTCAGGCTAAGTCTGTGTGCCTGGAGGTCAACACTGTCAAATTGGAGTAAAGATGGTGTCCCTGCTATGTTGATGACAATGTCATAAGGTAAAGGACAATCATAAAGCAGCCTGCATGCTTGTGATCTGTATCAGTCGTTGAGTGTCAAGGCAACAGTGTCAGGCAGAGAGGAGAGAACAATCAAAAGGACAGACTGTATTTAAGAGTTTTACAAATTGATCCACATGTTTACTTTTCAGTGTTCAACCACTTTATTAACATGCTTGCCAAAGCATGTGTGCATCGAAGCAGATTGTTTGACATTCAAGATAACTCATCAAGTGGTGTCAGGCATCATTGTCTATGTGGATCAGTACAGGCTAGTGGTGGCAGTGCTGCTGTGCTGGAGACTCCCGGGCACACAGGCCACTCTTGGGAGTGAGACACATCCTGTGGGGCCTACCTGGCTTCAGAGCCTGAAGATAGGAGAGTACAGAGAAGGCAGAGGCACCAGGTCAGCCCTCCAGCACAGAGTGAATGGTGTTGTCCCAAGCATGGTCAGAAGTGGGGATCTGGAAGTGTAAGTGCAGCTGGGGAAGCAGACACTTGGCCAATGTCTGGCTTAGGCGTAGCGAGTCATGAGGCAATGGTGCCAGCGTGGGTGGGGCCGAGGTACCAGTTGTGATGCCCCAACTGTAGACAGGTCACCACTGGGCCTCCAGCAGCAGAAGCACCAGGATCTTTCTTCCTGAAGTAATTAGCAACATGGGAACTGGTCTCTGAAAGGGGTCAGAGTTTGCTGATCAGAAGTGGGAATTGATATCAGAATAGCACTGTCTTAGTCAGTTGGCTGGTCCTGTCACAAAACACCTGAGGTTGAATAATTTATAAAGAAGATGAATTTATCTTCTAGTTCTAGAGGTCCAAGACCCTAGCCTCAACATTTGTTTGGCCTCTGGTAAGATCCTCGTGCTTCTTTAAATCATGGTGGAAAAGGGGAAACAAGTGGAAGGAGCACGTTGAAAGAAACAGCAGAGGGCACTCACTGTATAACAACCCGCTGTTGTGGTAATTAATCCTGTCCTTGATTCTGAATTTACTCCTGTGGAACCTAATCCCCTCCTGAGAGGATGAGCTCAGGCTCTCAAGAAGGACATTAATCTATTCATGAGGTTGTTGCTCCTGTACGCCCTACCAACCCCACACTAGGCAGCTGTTTTAAAGTTCCCACTGCCCCTCAGTACTGTTACACTGCGGGCCAAGCTTCCAGCACGTGGCCTTTGGAGGACACATCACATCCCAATCATAAAGACTCAGAGCCAGCTGATTTCTTGAGTCCTAGAGTGAAAACTTTATTAAATTCATCATTCCTGACATCTGGTTGCACTAACTTCTAGGGAAGGGGGAAGGTATGCTGAGTATGGGCCACAGTTACATCTGTATGAAAAGGACCTCATGTCTGGGAGTGAGATGCTGACAAGCTCCTCCCCTCTTGGAGGTGCAGCTGCAGATAAAATAATTTACTTTAGGGTAAAATAAATGGAGCCGGGGCCTCCTGCATGCTGCGTCCATCCAGATACTGGCAAGGCTTGCTGGTGATGAACATCTGCAGTGGGCTTAGGTAGCCTTTGCCCTTTTGTTTGTGGAGTTTCTACATCTCCAAAGGAAATTTTGGAGAACCAACATGGCCTAAGGTTTCAAGTCCTATTAATGATCAGAATTACAATTTTGACTTTAGTGATGTATGAACCTACATCTCTAAGTGATAATATTTGTTCTGTATTTCTAGATGGCTACCCCAAAGAAGAAATGATTTATAGATGGAGAAAAAATTCAGTTGAGGCAGCTGATCAGAAATCTTGGCGGCTCTATCAGTTTGACTTCATGGGCCTCAGAAACACCACAGAAATCGTGACAACATCTGCAGGTAAGAATGAACTTAGAGATACAACTCTCAAAAATAAAACACCTTTTCCTTTTCTTCTCCCTGAGGTCTAAAGCTACATATAGTCACACCACTGATGTAGAATTCTTTCATGTATATTCTTTTAATAATCACAATACAGCAACCATGATACACAGGTGATATTTAGAACAAAACAACTAATCCAAAAGTAAAAGTATTTTTTAAACATTTCCATTGGGATAAGGGAATAATTAGAATTAATTTATTTTTTAATGAAGATTACTCACTGCTGACTACATTTATATAAGCAAATTTCACTTATGGTGTGAGTTCTATAACTTCTCACATATAAAATAAGAATATTATGAAAATATTACTCAGAATTCACAAATAAAAAGAGCCAGTGTGAAATGTCCTTTGAATTCAGTTTCTAGCTTCTTCCTTTTCTTTTACCCCAAGGCTTATCTTACATTTTAAATTTCTTTTTCAACAAATTGAACACAATAATTAGCTACAAAACTTATTGTATTAAGTGATCGTTTGTGCACATAATAAAGCATCTAATTAGATTAGAAATGATGCTTTGTTACTATACTATAATGTATAAATATATTCTATCATGTATTAATATGTGAACGTTTTTCATTTTGTTTTATGTTTGTGTCTTTTTAAAATATCTATTCTTATGGTCTGCTCTTTTGCAAATGATTTTCCTTCAATGGTGTGGGGTAGAGATGGGGACTAGAATCAACATTTCTACACATCTTACCTTTTGTTAATATGTTTTGTTAAATTTCTGTAATTATTGCACTGATGACTACATTGAGATGTCAGTTTTTATAATTAATTATAAATATATTTAGATGACACTCCAAATTCTTGATAGAATTGCAAAACAAAGAGCCATTTATGCATCAAGAAGGACTCTGAAAAGTTACCTGATAAAATAAGAAAAGCAAAAGATTTCCTGTGGGTGTCGTGGAGGTAAAGTGAGAAATGGGATCTGTGTTCACATATTAAACAATGATAAGATTAAAAGAATGAAAGAGCATAATTTACCTAAATGAATGGAGGAGGCAGCATCAAGGGAAATGTTCTGGGAAAGCTTTGTCCCCACTCTGAGTCACCTGCATTAAAAATCTAATTCCACTTCCTGAGAGGCTGGAAAACACCAATGGACCCTGGCTGCCCATGAGGCTTACTAAGCAGGGAGGATTGATCTAGCATCTAAATGCCAGATGTGGAGATTCTCTTCCATTCGTGCTGTTCTCTGCATGAGAATGTTAAACAAGGAAATGTAAAGGCAAGTTGAACATGACTGGAACCAGGGTTTTGAAACTGTAAAAAAATACTAACCTTGGAAATTGACCAGCAGAAGGGGTTGAAGTGACCATGCTAAGTGTTATGATGGCTCACAGAGACATTCTAATGAATCTAAGTTCATACTCTTTGAATGTTTTACAACCATAACTTTTGTATGACTTGTATAATAACCAAAGCCCTCTTTTATATGATTATACATGTAAGGTAAACATCCTTTGGACGATTTTTTTAAATCCAGTTCGTGTGTTTGTGACTCAATTAATGCATGACTAACCATCAATGTGCCTGTAATCGCAACACTGACACAGCAGTTCTAACGGGAAGATAGCTCCCTGTTGTTGGCTGGACCTACACCATGTGAACCAAGAAATGGATTCATTAGTACTACAACATGTGTTTACAAAAGCAGTAAAGCATGCAATTAACTATTGATGCTAGTCAGACTCCCACTACTGTAACAAATATCTGAAATAATCAACTTCACAGCTAAGGGGTTTGTTTTGGCTTATGATTTCAGTCCACTATGAATCAGTTCCACAGTTTTGGGCCTGTGGTAGGGCAGCACATCATGGCAGAAGCATGGTAGAGCAAAACTTCTTTCTTTGTAACTGGGAAACAAAAGAGAAAGGAGGAAGGGACTGGGATTCCACTATTCCCTTCCATGGTAGGCTCCCAGGGACCTGAAGAGCTTCCACTGAGCCCACCTTTTACAGGTTCCTCCACAGACCAATAGCATCACTCTGGGGGATGGACCTCTAGCACATGGTCCTTGGGGAACATTCCAGGTGCAAATGAGAGCACTCTTTTAGGTTATCTTCTTGTTTGGTAATCATATTTTTAATGATGCCATGTCTCTAAGTATGAAAAACAAAAACAAAAAACGCTTTTCTTGCAAAAGTTTACCTACTGGTAATTGTCTTTCATAATCTTAATATCAACCCAATTTACATAGCTTTCCTGGTATAGAATACATTTCCTGCTAACATTCACAGCTTTAAAACATCTTTATAAGATCCCCCAAAGAGGCCTTATAAATGTCATTTGAATCTGGGGGTTCTGACACTACTTCTCACTAAGGCAATTCCCAGATAGCACCTTCCTCTCTGTTAGAAACTTAAAGTTCATATGATACATGTCCAGACCTGCCTGATCTGAAAACAAGGCGCTGGGAATTCATTACTACCCTAAAGCAGCTTCATGATAACTGTCTAACTTTGCCTTGTTGACAAATATTTTCATGATCTTTTTAAGTCAATAAGACATTGTTATGTTACCTGTTCTTTTATTCATTTATCCAAAGCCCAATTTGCAGAGGGAAAACTTACACCTCGTGTCATGATGAAGGCTTGCAAAAAGGAGCATCAAGGATGAACAAAATATTTTCTGTGTTTAACTGGGCAGCATTTCTGTTGAATGAAGTTAAAATGTGTTAGGAGAATGGTAGCTAGATCCCACAAACACAGGAAATCAGGCTGCACCTACAACTGGGGTAGGTTGTTTTGTATGTGTTTTTCTGGACAATTCCCACAAAAAGTAGGTTTCACCAGTTGAGACTGTATAATGAATATTCATGGGGTGCAATTGCTTGCTAAGCGTGGCTGCTTCTTTCACAAAGCAGATCGTGCTTGGTATTCTATTAACATTTTAGAAGCTCACTGTCTGATAAATTTATTTTTATAGACAAATGTTATTCCTTATTTTCAAGCTCCTCACATAAAATTATGGTGAAGGCAATAATATGTACAGTTGTCCCTTGATATCCTCAGGGAACTGGTTCCAGGTCCCCCACAGATGCTCAGATCCATCGGCACTCATGTCCTTCATGATATAGTATTTGCATACAATCCATGCATATCCTACTTTAAATCATCTCTGTATTATTTATAATACTGAATGCAGTGTAAATGCTATGCAAATAGGTGTTATCATTCAGTGTTTATACTATGTTGTTTGTTATACTGCACTATATTATATAAAACAGAGGTATCATTCAGTACAGATTGTCTCAGTCACTTTCCCATTGCAGCCCCAAATATCCAACACATGCAATTTAAAGATTTTGGCCCTTGGTTTCAGTCCATGGTTTGCTGGATCCAAAGCAAAAACACCATGGCAGACAGGCAGGGAGGAAAAATGCTTAGCCCATTAGAGCCAAGAAGCAAAGAGAGGGAACGGAGGAGCCCGGGACAAGAATACACCCTTCTAGGTTACACCTCCTGTGACCTGCCTCTTCTCATTAGGCCCCACTTCCTAAAAGTTATGAAACCTGAAAATTTCCTCCATCAGATTAATTGGTCCACCATCTTTAAATTCAGCTTCACACAATGTCTTATACATAGACAACATCCAAACAAGTTCCTTGCCAAAATTAATACTCGTGGCCTTAAGTCCAGGTTCCAATACAAGTCTCATTAGCACCTGGAACCTTCTGAGCCTGGTCTTTACTCTACATTCCTATCAGCATTCTGGGCTTCTGAATGCTGACTAGAATTGTCCATCAGTCTTGGTTGATACCATTCTAGGACTTTCCAGTTGGCATCTCCAAACCTTGTGAACTCCGCCCAGACACCAGTTCCAAAGGTGACTAAACCACATGGTCAGTTTCTTTCACAGCAATGTTCCTATTTTTCTAGTGCCAAAATCTGTCTCAGTCACCTTTCCTTCACTGGAACTTTCCCTCACTTTCTCTTCACTACAACTTCAAGAAGGAGAGATTTATTTTGGCTCACGGTTTCAATCCATGCTTAGCTGGCTCTAAGCATGGCGAAAGGTGCTCAATGTGGGGGAGCTAGGAAGCAGACAGAGTGAGAGCGGAGCCAGGAACAATAACACACAACAACAGGACTTCTCTTCCTCAGCCCGGTGACAGGGGCTCCCCCAGGCCGCTGCCCTGCCCCCGAAGCTCGGCAAGCTAAGCTGTGTTCTAGGCCGGAGGCCCCCATGCAGTTTATGTTGCCTTTTAGTTGTCAGAGAAAGCTTGCACTGCAGAAGTGGTATGTCCCACTCTCAGACAAAGAGAAGAAAAAGATCACAAGAGAGCTTGTCCAAACCGTTTCAGCAAGCAAACCTAAAATGCGCGGCTTCATTCAGTGGTGAGGTCTGAAGATTGTTTACAAAAGATACGCTGGTCTGTATTTTTGCTGTGCTACTGAGGATCAGGACAATGAACTAATTATGCTGGAAATAATTCATTATTACCTGGAATTACTTGACAAGTATTTTGGCAGTGCGTGTGAACTTGATATCATCTTTAATTTTGAGAAGGCCTATTTTATTTTGGATGAATTTCTTTTGGGAGGAGAAGTTCAGGAAACATCCAAGAAAAATGACTTTAAAGCAGTCGAACAGGCCGATCTACTACAGGAGAACAGAATACATATCACAGCAGGAGTTTCGATGGGTGGTCTAAGAAAAAAACATACTAGAATACATGCTGGAGTGCTGACATGCATCAAAAAGTAGTAGGATATATGAATTCAGTTTACAACTATAATTTTGTTGTTTGTTTATTTTAGCATTACTTAGAAAGCCTAAATTACATCAAACCCCAAGGGATAGTCCCAATTACTTTATTAAACTGATACTTTCATGGAGAATTTTGCTCTGATAGTGATCGGTCACTGGGGCTTGTAATTTATTTTCCACAGAGAATATTAAAATAGGTTTAGAGGTTCACAAACAAAAAGGTATTCATTAAA